CGGGCATACAAATATTTCTTTGAGGCCCTGCTTTCAATTCTCTTAGGTATATACCCAGAAGTGGAATTACTTGATCAAATGGTAATTCCATTTTTATTATTTTGGGGAACTTCCATCCTATTTTTCCACCTATTTTACATTCCCACCAACAGTGCATAAAGATTCCAATTTCTCCACACCCTCACCAACACTCGTTAGTTTCTGTTATTTTAATCTAATTGGTATGAGATGGTATCTCATTGTGGTTTTGATTTGCATTTCTCTAGTGATTAGTGATGTTGGGCATTTTTCCGTGTGTTTATTGGCTCCTTGTGTATCTCATGGGGGAAATGCCTATTCATTGGCCCACTTTTTGAATCAGGTTGTTTTTTTTTTTTTTTGTTGAGTCTTAGGAGTTGTCTATATTTTGTGGATATTGATCCCTTATCAGATATATGATTTGTAAATATTTTCTACCATTCTGTGGGGTGCCCTTTTATTCTGTTAATAATGTCTTTTGAAGCACAAAAGTTTTTAATTTTCATGAAGTCCAATTTGTCTATTTTTTCTTTTGTTGCTTGTGCTGTGGTGTCATACCCAAGAAATCACTGCCAAGTCCAATGCAAGGCATTTGACTTTTAATTACAGTTGCTACTTCTCTTTCCCTCACTGTTCACCAGGGTGGAACAGATCTCATTTTTCTGTCTACTGAACTTATAAAACATGTATGTAATTACAGCTTGGGTGTACTTTCCATTTCCATTTCCATTTTAACACCTCATCATTGTTACATTATCTTTATCTGATTTTATTAAAAACATTTTTGTTCTGAAGAATTTTCCCAGGTATTTTATTACTGTAATTGGTATCATCTTCCTGAATCTCTTTTTAGCTGTTCTCTAGCATATTAAAGGGATGTATTTCTGTTCTGATTGCTGATTCATGGATTTGTTGGAATGCACAAGCAGATTGCATCTCTGTGAACAGTTAGTTATTTTAAATATGTCAGAATTGTCCCTAGAAGATTTCCTAAATAAAAGCTTATTCCAATCAATTTACTTAAATTCATTCTGAATTACCTCAGACTCTGTCTTTAACACATTCAATATTTATGCAATGCATCCTCATGAGTGTTTCAGATATATTGTTTGGGGATAGGATGAAGCATCCAAAAATAATTAACACAGTGGGCAAAGATAACGAAATGACAAAACTGAAATAGAAGATGCAAATGTAAAACAATTTTTAGCATAGAAAGTATCCATCGAGAGTAAATCTGGGCTGGTAAATGTCTATGAGAGGCAGCATTTTGCAAGATGGACAGAAGCCAGGATCATCACTGTGGTATATTATATGATCTGGGTACAGTTACGTTTCTGTAATTGATTGGAATTGTCCACGGAGAATGTTCTTTGCTGCAATCCAAGGATTTCGTCGATGTTTCAGTTTCTCCAAAGGCCACTTGAAGGGTAATGTGTTTTTAGAGGGATGCATTTTTCTAAAGTATCAGAAAATAAGATTGAGGTTTTACTAAGATGTCTATATTATTCTTACGGCTTCTGCTAAAAACAGCACTATTTGAAGCCAGCAGCATGTTTTTTTCCTCCTTATTTTTGGCTAGAATTAGGTTTCAGAAGTTGGATAAAATGGTGTAAAAATAGTTACTTCTGAAAGAAAAACCAAATATTTGCTTTTAAAAGGAAAGGGTTTAGGTTTTTACTGAATATCCTCAAATTGATTTTCACGCTTATACAAGCATGGGAGCAACCCAACTCCCAGGGAGATTGGGCAGAGTGGGTATTGCTTTGCAGTGTTAGGGAAAGTACACAAATGCTTTTAAGGAAATTTTAGAACTTGCTTTAAAATGTCTTTCCCTCTGGGTGCAATGTACCTTGCACCCAAATACTCCATGAAAGTGTGAGGCGCTCCCACGCTGTTGCTCTAAAAACCTGTTCTGCTTCCAGAATAGTCTGTTTCTGCTGACTTGGACATGACTCTTGGCAAGATTGTGAAGGGGTGATGTTTATCTTCAAAAACCAGAAGGGGTAGAAATGAGGTGGTCAGAGACCTCTCTTTCATTGTCTGGGGCCTCTATGTACCATTCACTATCCCACCAGAGCATGTTCCCAGAAAGCATTTTCAGAAAAGGTCCACTGAAGGAATCCCCATTTCCATGGATGCTGAGCTACAACTGAAATGGTGCATGCATTTGAATTTGAAGAGGTGGAAATATTGTAGCACAAAGGGATGGAACACAAGTGAATCCCTCTCTGAGTACAGAGATTTTATTGTTTTTGGTGGGGTAGCAATGGTGGGGTGGGCTCTTAGCCTACTGCCCACTGACATAAAATCAATGCTGAGGATGAGTTTATTTACAGTTTATCACCTTAGACTTTCATTTACCTTTTATTTACCCTTGACAGCTCTTTATCATTTTCTAAGCATTTTCACATAAATGATTCATTAAGTGAAATTGATAAAACACTTGTACCAGACACTGTGTATACAACGATGAAGTTCACTGCCCTTCTTGTCACCATGGAGCCAACCACTACGAGAGGAAGCCTACGCAGGTATTTCCTGTTTTGTAGGTGAGAAATGGTAACAGAAGAGAGTTGATCTGATATATTGTCCTAAATCTTCCAATATATGCTTGGGTCACCAAATATAACACAGGGGTAAGGTAGCATTACAGAAACTTAATTAAAAAAAAACCCAAAAAACCCAAACCCCAAAACCAAAGAACACAAACCGCTTCTCTTGATACTACAGGCCCAATTTTTCTTTTTAATCCCTACTTATTCCTTCCAGATCCCTGGTGAAACTGTGTTGTAATAGGACATAGAGCATCTTTGGGGCACCTGGGTGGCTCAGTCGGTTAAGCATCTGCCTTCAGCTCAGGTCATGATCCCAGAGTCCTGGGATCGAGCCCCGCATCAGGCTCCCTGCTCTGGGGAAGTCTGCTTCTCCCTCTCCCTCTGCCTGCTGCTCCCCCTGCTTGTGCTTGCTCTCTCTCTCTCTCTGTGTCAAATAAATAAAATCTTAAAAAAACAAAAAAAGAGGAAATAGAGCATCTTTTTTTTTCTTTCTTTCTTAAAGCCTTTACTTTTGAGACAGAGCATCTTTTCTGATAACACCCTGCTGAAGTAACACCACAAAGATGCACATTCCTGGTATACCGCCCATTCGTTTTGGTATTGTAATTAGACAAGCTTATTTAAAAGCTTAATTGAAGTCATTAGCATTCTGTTAGAACGGCTATTAGACACTTTGTAGTATCAATTTCAGATACTTGAAGAACTATGCTATGATTTGTTTCCAGTGTGATCTGGTGTTTGGTGGAGAGGCAACTATAATGTTGGAGCAGATAATGTTTGATTAATGAAGATCTCTGATGGTAGCCTGCTTATTATTTTATAATTGTGTTGTGAAGTTTATTTTGCCCCAATCCAAACTTTCTCTTCTGTAATTTTCACCCATTTTATTTTTTGCTGGTCCACCATGGTATTTTGTTTTTAATAACCCTTGCATCAATTTGACTACGAAGCAGTCACAAACCTAGACTTATGCATCCAAATACAGTTTGTCCTTTTAGACTATTACTTTTGGAAAATACGCACCAATCCTGATATATTACCCTGAAGAACATTTTTGGAATCTCCCTTTTCTGATTGGCTTTGGTGTTGGTTACAAGCCATGAAAAAAGCAGTTTCATTTTTATGGCAGTCAGCATTACTGTTAGCCCTTTCACTTGCAGGAATTATGTGGTTATTTCAGAAGCTCCATTCCCTCCTGAATGGTTGGCACTTTAGAGGCCACTGGGAAATATGGGCTGGATTAGCTCTAGGGAGTTCTAAAACTGGCTGTAGATCAGCCCTCCACACCCTGCAAAGTGCAATCTTCTGATTCCAAGATCCCTTAGGGTTGAAAGCTCTGGAATAAAATTCATCTTAGATCAGGCCTACAATCCTCAAATCATTAAAAACTGCCTTCAATATGACTTGGAATCAAAGGGTGCAATCATTCAAGATAACTATATTTGTTTTCAATGGACAGGCATGGCATCTATGTAGTTTAACAAATCCAAATAAAATCGAGATAACAAGTAAGGAAACACGGATTTGGGGATTCAAAGAACTTTTAATGACAAGGAGGTGCTGTGATTCTGCTCAACCAAATATGGATTTGCAATCCATCATTTTCTCCAGGACTTCTCTATAATGAACTGGTTAACATTAATTTACAGATACAGTATTACTCATGAAACTTTAATCATATGCATTTAGAAATATTTTCCAAATTACAGGCTAGTTGAAGAATAACAATAAAAATTTAAGTATCCATTCAGATGCGGCTGTCTGGGCCTAAAGCTTGACCCTGGGTAAGACTGGATCAAACCTCTGAATAGTATCCCAAGATCCTTCTCAAACTGACATGCAAAAGACTTGGGAAGAAGTTTCAAGCAAAGTGGAAACCCTGAAATCTCCTTTAAAAGCCTCAAATTTGAAGAATTTTATTTTCCAGGGGTAGTACAGAATGCTCATGATGAAAAGTGAAAGAGCTGAGGCTGGAATTGTGGGAATAACTTTCTAGAAGTCACTGCAACCATTCTCCATTACTTAAAATCAGGCTTCCTGGACAACCTGGAATCAATAATCATCTCAGAATTTTTGAGGACCCTAAAATACTGTAACTAGAACTCATTAAACTACAAATTTTTATCTCCTTTTTTTGCTTAGATTTAGAATTTAGATTCCTGAAAGCAGAAAAAGAAAGCTAATCTAAGGGCTCAATACATATCTTGGAAGCCAAGTTTTTTTATATTTACTAATAACTCAATCTGAAGATTTAAAACTTCCTTCAGATTTTTCTTTTTATTTTCTTTTTATTTATTTTAGAGAGAGAGAGTGAGCACGAGTTGGGGGAGGGGCAGAGGGAGATGAGGGATTCCACCTCATGACCCAGAGATCATGACCTGAGCCAAAATCAAGAGTCAGACACTTAACCAACTGAGCCACCAAGGTGTCCCCAGATTTTTCTTTTTAAAGAAGCTGGGTCATGAAATAACCTTTGCCTACTCAGTTTGGATTATTTCTGAAAGAGAGAAGGCCCAAAGTTATTATGAGTTCATATTCTTCAAGCATATGGAGTTCCTGTTTGGGGACCCTTTCATCGTGAATAGTTAGCAGTAGTGATGGTGGAAAGAAAGACATCTGGTGAGAGAAGACAGAGTACAACCTCAGGCTGAAAAGGTTTTATTATAATTTGAAGTTTTAAAATAACTATAATATCCAAGATCCACTGCTACATAAAAATATTTCATTCTTCTTTTCCATAAATAATGAGTCATCATGACAATAAAACTACCAATTAACCTAAGTATCCCTTTCCTCTGAGGACATGTTGTAAGAAGTTCAGGTAAGTACCCTGCTCTTGGTGAATCTGTGAGACTAGCTGCGATCTCTAGAAGAGTCACCTGAAGTGTGTGTGCTGTATTTTAGAATCCTTGTGTCTTCATGTTCATTTAGTCATGCAGCAAGTATTTATTAAACAGCTACCATGTGCCAGGTAATGCTGTAGGTCCTGATAATGAATCCAGGCACAAAAGCAACATAAATCCCAGCCTTCCTGAAGCTTAGTCAGGAGAGACTAACAATAAACAAATATTTCTGTGGTGATAAGAACAATGGAGAAAAACAAGAAAGGAAGATGGGGAGGACTGGTGGGCTCGGGTGGGGTTGCCACTTAAACTAAGATGGTTAGACCTGTGGGTGTCTGGGGAAAGAGCTGTCGAGAATGAGGGAGTAGTAAGAGCAAAGGTTGTGCATGATGTTCACCAACAGCAAGGTGACCACTCAGGTTGGTGAGGAGTGAGCAAGCGGGAGAGTGAGGAGATGAGGTCAGGGGTAGTTAGGGGAAGAGGCGAAGACCATGCAGTACCTTGTAGGCACTGTGAAGAGTTTGGCTTTTCTTCTGATGGAAAGGCTTTGGAAGATTGTGAGCAGAGCAGGCTAATCATCAGACTTAAACCTTTCAAAAGGATGTTAGTTGTTGAGAGAAAATGTTATAAGGGGCAAGAGTAGCAGTATGGAGGCTGGGCAGGAGGATGTGGTGTGGATGAGGATGGTAGCAATAAAGATGGTTGGATTCTGGATAGATTTTAAAGGAAAAGCTAAAAGGGTTTGTGGGCAAATTAGGTGTGAGTTGGGAGAAAAGGGGAGTCAGAATGACTCCAAGGTTTTTGGTCTGAGCAACTGGAGGTGTGTGTGGAGAGTGTGCTTGGGGAGTTTTCTAGGCTACTGAATTAGTTTACTAGAAGGGAATGTCAAAACTTGAGGACGAGGGCTTATTTTGTAGATTTTCACTGTTGCATCATCTGTGTGTGTGAAGGTAAGAGGAAACAGGTAATTTTTGGTGACTAAATATCCCGTCACTGTATCCTCTTCCCATCAAAAAGCTGACCATGGAATTTGGAAAGTATAGACAGAGAACGGTTCCTTATCCATGTCAACTCATTGTTGGGGCTGAAGGTCCTGCATTCTTATGTTGGGGTTGTAGGGATGTGGGATTGTTTCTGACACTTGAATTTCAATTGTTCCTAACTGTAACAAGAAACAAGAGGACCTGTTTGCAAGAGAATGAATCCACTTTGCCCTGAGGGAGAACAGGGATAAGACTGAAGAACAACCCAAGTATTTTTGGGAGTGTGGGTGAAGAATTTTAGCTTCAGTTCAATGGTAGTAATGTATATATAAGGAATGGAAGTTGCAGGGGCTTTCTGATTCTTCCAACTAATGTCCACCCTATCCCACCACACACTTCATCTCATTAGACCTTTGCTAAGTGAAGTCTGTGGAACTTACTGCCTCTCCTTTCTCATTGCCCACTCAGGCCTTACCTGAGCTTCCTCCTTCCCCATTTTGCTGAAATTATTCTCTTAACAATCTACTATTAATGACCTACTATCCACAGAGCCAGAACTCTTGATTTGGTTCTCACTTCCTGGGCTTCTTGTCAGTATTTAGTACGCATTATCCACCACAGGTACAGATGCATGCCTTCCCAGACTCCCGGCTAGCTCATGTCTCCACTTCTCTGTTCCACTCTCAGAAGGTCCGTTGTCATAATCTTCTGTGGTGACCTGCCAAGGAATTGTACTGTATACACATAAGACTTGCTGTCCTTACCCTCTAACTTAAGGTCATTCCAGATTTTTCCATCCTTCTTGCCTATTGATCCCTCTCATGTTTCTGAAAAGGCAGACCAACTGGACTTCCTAGAGATGGGGCTATCTCAGAGCTTTTGTTAATGCTGATCTACCTGGAATGTTCTTTCATCTCTGCCTTCACAATTCTAATCATCTTCAAATCTCAGCCTACATGTCCTTTCATGATTTTTTAAAATAATATCTCACTGCTGCAATTACTTTTATTATAACTACCTCTTATTTTCATCACTAGGCTGACTTAAGGGCAGGATATGTCTCTGATTCAGGTGGGTATCAGAGTACTCAACATACTACCTAGAATGAGTATCTGACTGGCATTTCAATTATTTGAACTTGATGAAATCCAGAGGAATATAAAATGGAATATGAAATTAGTCTGATTATGTTGGCACATGTCCTGTTAGAATGTACACTTAACACTAACATTTTGGTTGACTAATGAGCGAGAATAAAGCCGTGGACAAATAGTGTTCATCACTCACTGGGAATGGAACGTTTCCATCCAGGCACACCTTGCCTCACTGGTGTCTTCTGCACCTTATTGTAAACTAATCACTTTTAATTTTAGAATTTAATCAGTCACATTATTTTTCCCTCTCTCTGAGGGACAGAACAGAAATTCCTTCTTATTGCTCTTATGTCCTGTGTCACATGTCCAGTGAAGTAGAGCTCCTACCTCCCCACACCTGCATGGTCTCTCAACAAAAAGGAATGATGCTGATAAACATGAAGACAATGAGACTGTTTCTCCTCAGCTGCCTTTAGATTGGTGACCATTTGTCTATAATCTTTCATTTTCATTTAATTCCACAAGAACAGTGGTTAAGGTATGAACTTCATTGAGGAAATAGCCACTGTAGGAAAAGCAGAAATAACTCTAAAGTTTATGTGAAGTAAACTTCTGAGACAAGAGCCCTTCAGACCCCTCGTACCCACTGGACTTCAGTATCTTCCTATTAGTCATTCAGATTTAATTTTGCAAAGTGCATGCCTGGTCTCCCCACCCCACTTTTATTCATTCTTATTTTATTATTATTATTATTATTATTATTATTATTATTATTTTTAAAAGATTTTATTTATTTATTTGAAAGAGTGAGAGAGAGAGAGAGCACAAGAGGGGGGAGCGGGAGAGGGAGAAGGAGACTCCCTGCTGAGCAGGGAGCCCGATGTGGGACTCGATCCCAGGACTCCAGGATCATGACCTGAGCCGAAGGCAGTCGCTTAACCAACTGAGCCACCCAGGCGCCCTTATTATTATGATTTTTCAGCATGGAAAAGGAGTACACAAAAGCAATATATTCCAGTTTATGAAAAACTTTAAAATTCTAGTACTTGAGGTGGTTACATTGGAAAGTATTTTAAAATAATTCATTACAGGACCAGGAACAACTGAAATTACTTTCCAAGGATAGAATTTCATTCCACTAGACTGTATATTATTATATGGACATGGGATTCTAACAACATCTTAGTTTGAAAAAAGTACTTTTTGCAATGGAAACTGTATGGACGTAGAGACACTTCCTTTATCACAAGTGAAAACCTACCTGTAGGGGTTGAAAATGTTCTGTGTTTGCCTCAGACCTGTCTTGGAAAGCATAAGGATGAGGAATTGTACTGTGTGGTCTGTCCATGTTACAACACGAATTAGACTGTACTTCTCTCCTTGTGTAAATAAATATATCAGAAAGAGAATGGAAGCGTAGTCTTGAAGTAGAGGTCGTGAAAAGAAGAGAAGAGTAAGGGGGAATAAATGGGAAGGAAGCAGGAGAGAGAATTGAATCAGCTTGTCTTGAAGTGGCACACTCAATATTTTATTTCCACCAGTTACAGTATCTACATTTTCTAAGATCAGGATATACTGTTGTCTTTATCATCACTGGGCTCTGCAATATAATTTTACATCATATATTATTAACATTTTTGACTGTAAGAAATTCTTGAAACTACATGCGATCCAAGTATAAATTTTGCTAACAACCCACATTATGTGCCTCCATACAGATTTCTCTTATGTGTTTTATACTGCAGGGTTAGAAATCTGTTACAACAAATCCTAACACTGTCACACCTCAGTGTAGTTTCCCTTAGAAAAAAACAAACCAACATTCCTGTAAACATTACACTGTGAGATGCAAAATTTGATGGGTAATTCCTAAATCTCATCTCAATATACACAAAGGTTCTCCTACATTCGTGTTCATTTCACATACCAAGAAACCCATGAAGACAACACTAAAAAAGGCAACATTTGTGAAAAGGCCACCTCAGCTAGCTTTGTGTCGCCGGAGCCAATCCTGCGGCCGCTGTCGATTTTCTGGGTGTCCTGAGGTCAGAAGTTGATTCCACCAAGGCAGACATCAAGTGATTCGACTTTGTCTAGATGAATGAACAGCCAGACTGCTTAACCACTTCTCTCAAACGGACTGTTCGGGTCAGGTTACTTCACTTTCAGGTCAGTCAAGGCCTCAGAGACCTCCTCGTTGACCTGTGCGGAAATGCTCGCCGGTGTGACGTTGAGATGAATGTCATACTGCTGGTCCAGGCCAAGGTAGCAGTCGCTCATGAGATACAGTGTGTAGATATACCTAAAACATAAAAACAGAACAAAACGTAAAACCACAGACATCTTTAATTCTTTCAGAACTCTGGTGGTGAGATTCTGCTTACCTTCCAGGTAGTTCAGGGGTATAAAAAGAAATGGAAATAACGTGATGATTTCGAACATATCCTACTCTTTTCAAAGCGATAAGTTCTCTCTTATCCACTTCTCCTAATATCAAAAACCATCCTTCATCTTTTAATTTGGGAAATCGGGGAGTAACTGCGTGGCTGTCTTGCTTTCCCTGTAAACCAGGAAAAAAAAAGATAAACCATTAATAATGTCTAGACTTTCTATGCTCCTTGGTTGTGGTTAAAAGGCTAAGCTGTTTTCCTTGAAGGCCATAAATCTATATGGTTCAGTTTATCTATCTGGGATGTTTTAAATTTTCTGGTTTGGTGTCTTTGATATGCTATCACCTACCATTTTTCAGGACTCTCGAAGCACATTATAGATACTACTTTGTGCCTATAACCACCAGAATATTTGGCTCAGTTAGAACAGAAAGCCCTGAATCTTAGTATCAAATTAGTAAATTCTCACATCATTCTTATAAGTGATATTAATACCCCATTTGCAGATGAACGAATTGAGATACAATCATGTTAACCAAATCTTCCAAAGCCTTATTCACAAGAAACTGATACCTAGGGAAAAAAAGACAATCAAGACTAGACCGTGGAACTCAAGATAAAAAGTACTATATAATATAAATACCTTCCCTTGACCCAAGACTAAAACTCACATAAAAAAGCATATATTCTAATATGGCAATATTAAAAAATCCTTTCTTTGAGGAATGGGAAATTGTAAGCCAAGCAATATATAAAATACATTAATCACCACAATCCAAGAACCTACATCACCATAATGGCAGCACTTGAAGTCTTTACTTTAGACGGATTTTATGAAATCCGAGATTATTTTAGTGATTCTTTAAGACAATGACATTATGGAATAAAATTTACTAATAATGACCTGCTCTCAATCAGACATCATTAAATATTCTAGAGGGAGATGCTATACTTAAGACATTTTAAAAGAGAAGTCTGAGAGCAATGCATTTTTATGCATTTAGAAAGAAATTGAGAGTTTTTCTAGTATGATTAAATCTAATTTTAAGTAGTAATAGTAAGGTAGAAAAATCTTAGTTTTTTCCCCATGATTTTACCTGTATGATTATTACTATTTTTTTTTGTAAGCTGGGATAAATTAGATCATATAAAAATGCTCACATTAAAGCCTCTGAAATATCAGAGGCCAATCAGTTCATACTTACACTGACTGATTTTTAGAATTAGAAATTAAATGAGATGGGACCCGAAGGCACAGGGCTAAAAAGATGTAACGACAGAAAGCTCCTGACCATTCTGTGTTTGAAACAGAGTGGGCAGTACTCATGAACCACAACCTCATTCCTGAGGGCTGATTTTATTTTATTTTATTTATTTTTTAAATTTAAATTCAATTAGCAAACACAGAGTAGTGTATCATTAGTTTTTGGTGTAGGGTTCAATGATTCATTAGTTGTGTATAATACCCAGTGCTTCTCACATCACGTGCCCTCCTTAATCTGAGGGCTTATTTTAGACATGGGAGTGCCACTGACAGCATGGGCCAAAACAGAATGGGGCGGAATCGGAGGGGGAGACGAACCATGAGAGACGATGGACTCTGAGAAACAAACAGGGTTCTAGAGGGGAAGGGGGTGGGGGGATGGGTTGGCCTGGTGATGGGTATTAAGGAGGGCACGTTCTGCATGGAGCCCTGGGTGTTATACACAAACAATGAATCATGGAACACTACATCAAAAGCTAATGATGTAATGTATGGTGATTAACATAATAAAATTTTTAAAAAAGTGTTAAAAAAAAAGACAAATTCTTTATTTCAATTATTATGGTACTAAAAACCAATCTGCCCACATGCGCTATACTAATATTCTTAGAGGGACAAATGTTTAAGTTTCTGTGTCACAGGTAACAGCAAAGACAAGAGTAGTTTGAAATGAACATGTGGCCTCTATGAACACTGACAGAAGCGCTCTCGTGTGCGTTCCAGCGAAGGAAGAGGGAAGATGTGGCAACTGAGGCACAGGAAAGCTTTAGTGTCTTACTCAAACTCACGGAGCTGAGGGGGAACGCTTTGCCCTCCTGTGCACCTAGCTACATGTGGTTTCTGTCTCAAAGTGCCCCTAGGCAGTGCTTCTCTAACCTTAATGACCTTAAAAATCATTTGGGATGCTGGGTACAAGGACAGATCTTGAGATTTCTCCCTCTGAGATTCTGATACAGCCAGTCTGATAAGTAGGGCCAGAGAATCTGTACTCCAAATTCCAGGAAATTCTGCAGGGCTGAGTAGACAGACCATATGAGAACAGTACTCCAGGCAAGATATTATTATGTAAGGTGCATATTCTGGGGCTGAAAAATGGCACATGAGGAGAACTGACTGGTTCCAGAAGACTGGCTCTCACCGCTTAAGGCCAGTTGAGAAAGCAGGATTCGTGAATGACACGGACACGTTAATAATATAAAAGATATGTGTGGTGGCGCATGCCGGGACCTGGTGTGAAGCATTTGAGAATGGAAACCAAACACTATACCTTGTGGAACCCAAAGTGGACTCTCTGCAAGCTGACTTGAAGCACATACTCTTGATCAGCGTGCAATCTGATCCACCTGTTGTCATTTCGTTTGTCTGAAGTCAGAGTTGTGATAGAGAGCTCACCATGTCCCTCCTCTGAGTCATCCCACCAGCCTTTAACACTTAAGCCAACATCTATCACTGGCAAGCGGGATAAGAAATTCCATGCCTGAATAAAAAACAGAAGAAAAGATAGTAAGGAAAGGTAATGTGAAATGCAGTGATTAAGAAACTGTACTTTGAAAAAAAATCCACCTCTTTGTTTTGAGATTCATTCTAGATTCAGTGCAGTTATAAGAAATAATACAGAGAGATCCTGTGCACCATTTCCCCGGTTTCCCCAATGGCAGCATTTTTCAAAACTAATGTACAATATTAATACAGGATATCGACACTGACACAATGCACAGTTCTTATTCAGATTTCCCAGGTTTTTTTTGTACTCATTTGTTTGTGGGTAAAAATAGTGCTTTTAATTTTTGTAGTTTACAAAAATTTAAATCCTTTTAAAAGCAACTAAAAAACTATTAGTCATTTGCTAAACTTGTCACATGACTCCTTCACTATAAATCCCACCTAGATATTGAGTGGCTATTGACTATACTAAACAGTAAGTTTAAAAAAAATGTTTGTTTTTGAGCTGGTTTGCTTTAGAGAAGCATCTGGTCTAACATGTATGTGATTTCTAAGGCAGAGAGCATTACTGGGGGATATAAAGACAACTTGAAAAAAAAAAAAAACGTTGTGATGCAATTGTTGATGTCACTCAGCATCATTCATTGACTATTTACTGTACAGAATGATTTTTTTGTCCATATTCCAAATTTATTCTGAAAGGAAAACATTTCTATATGTTTATATATCACAAGGAAGCCTGTAAGTCTAGGGTCCTTCTAGAAATAAATATGTATTTTGGGCATTATATTGAGAATACCAATTAAAATGATGTATATTAAGGGGATAGAAAATATTTTACCAATTTTATTCTTGCTCTTTAAATTGAAAGACATTTTGAGAAATCAGTATACATATAGCAAGTGCTCACCTTTATCAAATGAATGAACAAATGAATTTCTAAGTCTACAGAAAGGATGTAACAAAATAAACTTAATGTTATCACATAACATTGTCACCTTTTCCTAACATTTATAATTATTTAGAATGTCACTATCAGTCAAGAAAACTTCTCAATAAATTGGTTTTATCAGTCATCACCTTCTAAGTTAGTTTTTAGAAGTGCATGAATACTTTAATTTTGTATCTTCTTTTCTTTCTTAACTACATACCATAGATTCCCTTATAGGCTTTGATGTTCTGATTGCTAAGACTTTACTGCTGCCTAGTATACCTAATTGAAATGAAGTAGCCCTGATGAATCAAACTACCCCTTAGGAATTAAAAAAAATGTGAATCTAATGCAAATTTTCAATCCACCTACAATCCTATAACTTGTCTTGTGAATCTGAAATTATGTCTGGAATAGATCTTGAAATAGTCAAGCTATTGGTCTACAGAACGGTCTACACTGTGCATCAAGGTAACAGCCTATCCCCTGTTAGAACCAATAGTCACTGAGGATAGACGCTATTCCACTTGATGTTCTAAGCCTGGCCAGAGTAGAAAAGTGATCAAGGGGATACTTAAACACACAATTTCTGTAAAGCATTTAACTTTGTGAGACAACACAAGTAACATTTACTGCACAAAGCAAGACTTCATGTTTCTTTACTTGTACTATTAAATTAGTTACCCAGAGATGTTTTCAGTTATTAGCAACTCGTTGGGATTTTACTTTACAAGGCTCCCAGAAGTCAGATCTGGTTTTTATATATATATGTGATCTTTTTTGTAGCACTTGATATTATTATTTTTCATCCTTGTTGTGTATACATATATTTGTTCGGTGTATGTATACATACACACACACATATATATATATATAAAATAAGCTATTTTTAAAGAAACTGCTAAGACATTTCAATACCAGCCAAACATATTTATCTGAGGATTAATCTTCATCTATTGAATCAGGCAAGAGCACTGCCATGCATACAATTATTTAATTAGCAGCCAAATCCTCTGCCAGTCAGCAGCCGTTCCAGGCATACTGATGGGGTAGAAGATGCAAATCTCACAGTCGTACTGCTTTTTCTCATTACTACTGCAATTAGCACTTAAATTGATGCTTTAAACATACTAATTTCTGGAATAATTCAGGATTTGTATGTTACCTGGGATCGCCTCACTGCAGAGCCGACACCAGATTGCTCTGCAAATTGAAGCACTTTTGAGCCAAATAACCATCATCATATCAGACTGAGCCAATTTGCATTTGGTTTTAAAGATAACAGAATGGCAATTTATGCAAATAAATTAAGTAAGTTTACTTCTGAGTTCTCCCTGAACTAATTATAACAATGTTCTAATTTTTCATCACATCTAAAACTTGGCTTGAAATCAGTGTATGTTAGGTTAGAAATCTGTTGTTGCTAACAGAAGCCTTGTTTTGGTTTAAATACATTGTTTTTATTCATAATTTTGATGGTAATTTAGTTAGAAAGATAGGCACTTATTATGACTATTTAAGTTGTTTTTTGTGCCAATTCTGAGTTCAACAGAAATTGAACAATCAGACTTTAATGCCTATAATACTTATTTCTAAGTTGCTCAAAACTAAGTTCCACTGGAAAAAAAAGAATGACGTGGTTTAGAAGTTTCTTTAATAGCTGCATTTGCAAGTCAATATGTTAATTATGTCATAAATCCTGAATGTTTGACATGTTTAGGGTGAAACTGCTTAAGACTTAAAAGTCTATATATGCCAAATATTTCTGGCATCGTTCGTTCATATTTTTGGCCTTTCCAAAGATGGTTTGGAGAAATGACCTACGTTGTCTTTTACAACATAGATTTAGCTTTCTATCTGTTACATGGTATACAAATAAGAAGCTTACTTAAAGAAATACTTTAGAATCTAGGAACAATAAAGTGATTAAAATAAAAAGGGAGGGTATTAAGAACGTAACTGAGAGAACTGCATGAAAATCTACCCAACTGAAATTTATACCCAAGTGGGGAATGCAGCCTAGTTAGTGATGGACAAGCTACTGTAGGCCTTTCTAAGCTTCTTTAACAGCATTATACTGAATCAACTTCCAATAATGTCAATGCTACTACTAATTATTGTTACTGTAATTATTTTTAATATTATTATTGGACTCTGTTCTATATTAGGAACTGCATAAAGCAGTTGACATAATAATATCCTGCTTAATTTTCACAAAACTTCGTGAGACAAGTATGATGTGTCCATGTTCATAATCACAGTAAATGGCAGACCGAATTTAAACCCAGGTGAGTCTGACTCCAAAACCAATGCTTTAAGTTAGAAAACTCTTGGTATAATTTCCCAGACAGAATAAGGAAGCTGTGAAACACAGAAACAATGGCCTGACCTGCTTCATTTTTACAGCTGGTAGCTCATTTTCCATCATGGAGCTGAATACATGGTCTTTCCCTCCACAGGCATGGATCAGTTCAGGAAGGCAATCGATGAGGCCATGGCCCCCACCACGTACACCCTTTATACCTGGGCTCCATTTCCTGAGAAATAATATCAACATTAACCAACTAATTCTTTCATGGCACAAATGAGAATTCCTGATGGTTTCTATTTTAACTACATTTATTCCTTTACGATATCAGCCTTTATTTTAAAAGATGTTATGAAAGTGCTTTGTGATCTAAACCAAAATAAATGACCAGTTTCTCTTATTGCAGAGTAGATTTGAAGGATCTGAAAGTTTACCTAATGAGGTAAACTTACCTAAGGAGGACAGTTTTTTAAAATTAAGACTGCTGGGTGCCTGGGTGGCTCAGTTGGTTAAGCGACTGCCTTCGGCTCAGGTCATGATCCTGGAGTCCCGGGATCGAGTCCCGCATCGGGCTCCTTGCTCAGCGAGGAGTCTGCTTCTCCCTCTGACCCTCTCCCCCTCATGCTCTCTCTCTCTCTCAAATAAATAAATAAAATCTTAAAAAAAAAAAATTAAGACTGCTATCCAACTTTTTAAAGGCCATTATCATTAAGCTTCAAAATCAGCCAGCATTCTCTAATATATCAATCCAAGGCAGTATGGCTATGATGATGTAAGATGTGTAAATCAAATGTGAGCTCAGTAACTACTTAGGGTTTACAGATAGGGGTGAATTTCTATAGGAGGGCACTAATGTATACTAGTGCTTCCATGTGGATAAAGCACAGAACTAGAGCCCTGGTATGTCTTTTTAATGGATGCAGGCAAATGTCTCTAATATAATTACCTGAATAAAGTTTTCATTTTTAAGTTGTTGGGAACATACAATTAAAAGTACATTTTGGGAATCTTTGAGATTTATAGCACAATAGTGCCAGAGCCCCAAGAACATAGTCCACCTAAATCTTACCCTCTATTTCCTGTTTATATAGCAAGAAGAAAAATACAATTGAAATCATATAACTATAGTGCTTCTCAGGTGACAGCAAAGAACTGGATCAAATCTCCTAGACCCCAAGCAGCTTTCCAAAACAGATCTGCATGCTGTGTTGCAACAGTACCCTTACGTACCTACTTTACTGTTGAAACCCAACTCCCATAACTTTTAGAACCGTATTGGAAGGGTTCCTGAAACTGAACTGCAGCCATGAGGTGTCTGCTTTTCCCTTCTTCATGCCACCTGCTGCTGGTGTGGCTCACTCTCTGAACGTGCCTTCTAGTTTCCAGGACATCCCACGGTGGGGATTCACTCAAGCACCATGGAAATGACTGCCTTGGAACCCAGTACACTTGAGTCCAACTGAGGGACTTTCTGAGGAGACCCCCGTGTGTGTGTGAAGTTCTGGTTGGCATCTGTAACTAGATGCCTCAAATGAGTGCACCCCTTAGTCTAGCTGACAAGAGGAAGTGGGTACCTGATGGCAACCTGTTCTGTTTGTCTACATGACTGTGAACCAACATTGTAGCTGCAAAGCATCTCTCAAGTGAAGTGAAACACTGGTGTGAAACCAACACTTTCATCTAGACACTGCCAACCTTACTTGTAATATGTACTGTTCTTTTCCTTGCTAAAATATTTGCGGATATGTACACAGGACCTACAGGTTAAATAATCTGATGATAATATAAACCCTTCTTTTTAGTACGGGTTCTATCTCGAGCTGCTAGTATACGTAACTACCCAGTTTTGGACATTTTGTAGATTTTGTACAATTTACCTTTGACTACGGATTTCAGATCCCTCAAATCTATTCTGCAATAAGAGAAACTGGTCATTTATTTTGGTTACATCACAAAGCATTTTCATAACATCTTTTAAAATAAAGGCTGATATTGTAAAGGAATAAGTGCAGTTAAAATAGAAATGTATGTAATGTTGCAAATAGAAAACAAGAGAAGGTTAAAATGAATTGTGATTCAGCTTGTGGTAGATGATCAAATTCCAACTGAGACCCTTATATCACTAGGCCATGTCTCCCTCTGGGAAACAGGCATTTTCACTGTAAAGAATCAATATCCTAGGCACAACATGAAATTCAAGTGACAACACAGGTAAAGAATATATTATTTTTGAAATTAAAAAGCCAATTACTTTGAAAATTACAACTATTACCTGAAAACGTGAAGATGGTGGTGTTCTATGTTTGGTACTGAAAGAAGAGAAGAGTCCTTTAACCACCGACCCTGGATCACCATCTGAACCAGATTGGTGATATTCAGGGCAGTCACCAGCCAGCCCTGGTTTGCAGCCACATCCAGCATTGCCTGAGCAGGGAAAAAAAAATGCACGTATTATAAGAATACCATGGCACTTCCCTTCTCCATTGGGGATCTCATGTTAACCTTAACAGAAAACAAACAAACATAAAATAAGCATTATACCTCTGAATTACTACAATCAAAATGAAAACCAGAAAGCAAACCACAGTTGGATTGGAAGGAACGAACCAAAACTCCCAATAGCATTTGTTACACATTACTTCCTATAAAGTGCCAAATATTTAGCTTTTTTTAGGGTAGCAAATATAGCCAGGTTATAATGGAAACCAGTAATAAAACAAAGAGAAAAACTCAGCGTATTTTACAAACAAATACCTATATAATTCACTGTATCAAAAGCATTAGAAGCTGCATCTGAAGAGTGACTCTCAGGAGGTCTTTTCCAAATTTAATATCAACAATGGTAAGGCAATAGGTTTTCTTGCCAAAAATTTATTTCCCCCCAAAAGCAGGCTGAAGATAGAGCCCTGGTTTTCAATAAACATACTACACTACATACTTAAAAATGGGGCAACTGCCAGTTGTCCAAGTGGAATGATGAGAAGCTATTCATATTAGTCTATACATTTAATCTAATGTTTTATGGACAAACAAACGGCTGCATTTGCTTAAGGCAAAACTAAACAGTGAAATCTTATTTAAACAAAGGAGAAGTTTACACAGGCAAAGCTATTTCAATTAAATTAGATTCTGGAGAATGCTGACTTAAAGACACATAAGTTAATATCATGATCTGAGGCAGCTACTTTATACAGTTTGAGGAGTGTACTGTCTTGTTTTGGGGAAATGAAGAGATGAAGAGAAATGAGATACACCTAGTAAATGCTGAAAATGACAGTATAATGGCAAACAGCTCATCACCAACAAAATATTTATAAAATGTTGTATAAATCTATTAGAACATTTTTGAAAATAATTTTTAAGGCATATTATGCTAGCAAAATTAATTTGTCATACTACTTAGTACAGCGGAGGTGCACACATTTTCCTTCTAAGTTTTGAATTTCCTATTCTGTGTCCTCTCATTTAACAAAAAGTAAAATTGTTTAAAAAACATCTGGCCCAACTAATCTGTTGTCTTTTTATATACAGTAGAGGGAAATGGATCAACATTTCTGGCTATCATGATTAATGTGATAAAATGGTTAAACTGGGCTTTAGCACCCATGAGTCTACCATATATGATAAAGCCTCATACTGGAATAATAGATATATTTATATGTGTGCATATCAATGTGTATACATGTATGAATGTACATGTTTATCAATCTAGGGAAAATCCACTTCCATTCTTCCCATTTCTCTGTAGAGCTGATTAAAATGCTTTGCCTTTCTTTGAAGTATATGAGACAAAAAGATCATGATAAAAAAAAGCATTAGTTCATAAGTCACAACTCTTGAGTTCTGTAAGGCAAGAGAAAAGAAAAAAGAAATGAATAATCATATCTAAAGCAGTATCATGATAGTGTTAGAAGTTGTAATGTGGGGTAACTATGGCGATTTTACTTGTGATTTTACATTATAACTTGACTGGAAATAAATTCCAGACCAAAAGCTCACATACAAGAAGAGAGGGATGGATGGACCATATGTTTTTAACTTTGAAGTTTTCATGATGAAGTTGAAAGATTTCATAAAATTTATGAGCGTTCCCCACAATTTTTCATTGTATGATCCAGATGTGAAAATGTAAAAAATCATGCAAAGTGATTGCTTACATGAAGTAAATGAAAAGCCATGTTATGAATTGAAAACTATTATTTGTCTTGTTTTAATTTAGAGAAAAGCAGGTAGAGAGACCAAGAATCTGGGAGGAAAAAAGGTTTTGCAACTACCCAAATGTGGTGAATGAAATGTTGCTCTCTGCTCAATCACTCCCTTGTCGGGTCTGTTTTCTCTGCTCCACACCCCCACTCCCCCCATCACTGTCTTAGTGCAGACCTTCAACAACTCTCACCTGGAATAATACAACTAACCCTTTATTTTCATTCTCACCTAATTTTTCTTCAATCCATAGTTTATATGGTTACCAAAGTAAATTATCAGAGAGGTGACACGGATCATGTCATTTGTCTGCTCAAATTTCTTCAATGGCTTCGCACCATGTAGAGGACAAAGCTAGCACTTCTCTGCACAACAGTTTTGTTCTGTGATCTAGCTGGTCCTAGCTTTTCACTCTGGCCCCTTCCTCCCTGCACTCTTAATATAGCAACACTAAATTACTGCCATTTCCCCACATTTGCCCTTGCTCCTTATGTTCTCTTTTTGCAAATTCTGCTTTACCTGTTTACCTGGTAAATTCCCATTCATCCTTCATGTCTAGCTCAAATGCTACTTCTTACTGTGAAGGCTCCCTGATTCTTGCAGATGGACTGCAGACATTTCTTTCTTTTCCTGTGAGTCTGCTGCTCTTGACACATGCCACCATTATCCTATTGTCATTCTCTGTTTACACATGTGCCCTCTAAACTATAGATTTCTTGATGGCAAAAATCTGAAATAGTCTGTTAACTCTAGCCCAGTGCCCTCAAGAAATATTTGTTTTCTGAGGAATATTGGTAAAAATCCAATTACAATGATGATAACAACATCCTGCCTAAGTTATTGCATACTTGCTGAAGAAAAAAATTCCAAGCTTTTAGTGTCAAACGGACATAGATTTGAGTCTTAATTTTGTCCCACTTACTATGTGAATCTGGGGAAATCTCTTAACCCTACTCTGCTAGACTTCTCATTTATAGAAGGGGTATTAAACCTCCTTATAGGGATGCTATGAGGGTACAATGTACTGCCTGGAACATAGTAAATCTTAAACAAACAAGTGCCTATTTCTAAAGTTTTTCTACGATATGATGAAAAGGACACCCTAAAATAGTCCATTCTTTCTAACAGGGATTTCCTTTGGGCCTTTTGGTGTTGATTTCTGCACTTAGTAGTATAGGGCTTTGAAGGGCAGCGCATGCAAGGTCAAGAGCAGGTGCATGGAATGGGCAAAACAGTTCCTCAGGAGGGGTGTCCAAATACAAAAGAGCCAGGGGAAAAGGCTAACGGCCGTCCCTGTGGTTCAGACCAAACTGGAGGATGTGGGCTTGGATCTCAGTGTGAGTGGGCAAGCCAGTGTTACTGTTCAGAGGTACATACCTAAAGAAGCTAAGGCCAGGGGATGGTCCAGGTAAATGGACTTGAGGGTCCTAATAGCCTGTACTGACATATCTCTGCATGACTGAGCCTAGGATGGATTCCCTGTGTCTCACTGTCTTTTATAGCAGTCTTCCTCAGGGATAAAGGCTAATAAGCATCTGCTCTTCCCCAGAGTGGGGCTTACTTTGGTAGCAGCTGGAGATCATGGCTCAGTTCCCCAACTCACCTCAAAGTCCCTTACAGAGATCTAATGCTCAACAACAAAGTTGGTTTTTAGTACACTGAGGAGATAGAACTCTGGACATTCTTTCCCAGCTTAGCATTAACATTAGGCAAATGCTTAATTCCCCTTTACCTCACATCCACTTTCTACTTGGCATGCTACTTACAGGGCAAAACTAGGATGATTCTAAGTATTGGGAAAAATGGATGGGCACTGACTGTGTATGAAACTTTCTCCTACTAAGTGGGCATGAACTTCAACTGATTGATGATTGAGAATTCTTTGCCATTTCCAGCTGTGACAAAATGGAAATATAATTTCTAGCACTGTATTCATTTATAAAATTATGCTACAATTAAAATCTTATCATAATTAATAGAAACTGTGGAGCTGTCATTTGTTTATAGGAGAGCAGGTGATGAGCTTTGTTTTTAACACATTTTAACTGATCACTAGGAAGTCAGGTGAGAAGTCCAGGTAAGAACTCAAGAACTTCTGAAGTACCTGGCTTTATGCCAAGGTAAAACCACCACCACCACGAACTACAAAAATCAACCCCACCCCTCACTCCTAAAATAATAAAAAAATTAGAGTTTAGAAAATGGATGCTTTCTGGAAAAATTTTTTAGGCTCTAGGAGTCCTGGAGCCAAAGGCATGCTCTGTGACTTGAAACCAACTCATGTCCTGAACATTTATTTTGAATCAATTTCAAGAATTCCCTAAGCATATCAGGCTTGGTCTTAGCATTTAAATTCAACCACATTTTCATGGTGGCATTACTGCTTCTGCAAAGGACAGATTTATCAAATCTAGAGCTATTTTCTTGTCTTCTGTGACTATAGACTATACTTAAAAATGCAAGCTTGACAACATATCTCTGTAAATATTATGGCAAATAAAATTTCATTCAATTATTAAAAGTTCCAAACAGTGCATTATATAGTTAAAGTCAAGCTATATAGACAGTATGCATATATGGTGTGAGTAAAATATTTGTATAATAGTGCACAGACTATAATACACTTTCGTAAATAGCTCACTTTAATCCATAACAATACCAAGTATGAGGCAGGCATTAGTACCGTCCTCCTTTCACAGATGGAGAAATGGAAGCTCACAGGTGTTCAGTGGTATGTAATCACACCAGTCACAAGTGAAATTAAGACTTGATCTTGGTTTTCCAATCAATTACCTGTGTTCATTACACAATATTCCATTACCTTTGAATGACTTACATTGACCTTGGCCTGTTTTTTTAAATTAAATTAAAATTTTTTTTTTATTTTATTTTAAGTAGGCTCCACACCCAATGTAGGGTTTGAACTCACGACCCTGAGATTCGGAGTCATGTACTCTACCGACTGAGCCAGCCAGGCGCCCCTACCCTGTCTTACTTATTTCAAGAAGGATTTAAAGTGGTTTACGTCTAACCTTTTTCCCCTACATAACAGAAAAATACAAATTCCAGACAAAATAATTAGGTGTTTAATCAATTACTGTCTCTGTAAGAATTTTATCAATACAATTCTCAAAAACTTTAAAATTTTTAAATAAATTTGAATCCATCATTTGGTTATAAGTACATCTTAATATTTGATAGGCAGGCATTACATATCTTTT